GCTACTTCAAACTATCGTCAGTCATGAAAAGATCCGGTCAAATGACACGATTTTAGATCTTCCGTGAACAAGGCACGAAAAGGAAAAGAATCGGCGACAGGCCACATCAGGCCTACGCTTCAGCGCCGAGATCACTATGTTATGTTAAGTGGTCACACCTCCCAGCCTGAGCACAACTGGATTTTTGTTGGAAGTTTGTTTCATCTTGCCACTTTTGCTTCAATTTGGATTTCTGTCACACCCTCTCAAAGAGGTGGTTGTGATGCCATTCAAATCTTGCCACTTTTGCTAAAAAGTCCTCCAGATTTGAGCAAAACTCCCTACTCTGGTCGATGAAAAGCAAATAGTGTAAATAAAAGGCCTAAAATAAAAATTAAGATGCAAAACGCATTGAAAGATGTGTAGTTATTAGAGGTTGAGCTCGGTTGTGAATTGCCAGAATTATGCACGGGTAACAATCGCACACTGAAATTTGTTTCTGTACAAGTCAGGATAGTCTTGTGTCGTGTTATCTTTTTTGGTTAGAACAAAGTGAATAATAAAAGCGCTGATAACGCTCTCCGATACGAAAAATGAATAAAAAAATGGGTTGTTCATTTCGGCCACCTAACGGCGCAGTAAATCATGATCACAAATCCTGTCGCAAAACAGATCCCTATATATCACAAAGTGTTACTTAATGATTTTAGTTGAAATATATCAAGTTCAATGCTGGAACTTAAATTGTTAATTGTTGATATACTGCATCTCTATATATTAGTAGTAGTCGCAAGCATCGCATGATACTGTCAGAACATTTCTTGTTGATAAGTTACATGTTCCTCACAAGAATTTAGTTTACCTCGTTGATTCGTTCCACGCTACTTGTTGATCCATTACACCTTCCTTGTTGCAATAATACAAGCTCTTACTTGATGACTAGCATCTACCTGTTAACATATGGAATCTTGCTCCGACAATTTTCCAATAGTTTACCCATTAAGGGGACCTTTCACGGCCAAATTTTGGATTTTGGCGTTTTCCAGCTTTTAGTCTCATCTTAAAGTTGACATTCTGAGCTATCCAACGGTACCAAAACCATTTCGGTACGTTGATGTATGCATTCACTACAGATCCCAAAATGGAGGCGGGTGTCCGGCCCCCTTCAGTAAAGTCAAGGGAGTAATTATACGGCCTTTCACTATAAAGTAAATCGTCTGACGTAAAGCGGCCAATTATGCCATTCTCCAGTTACTATACTCATCTTAAAGCTGCTTTTCTGACGCATTCAACGGTACCAAAACCATCTCTGTACGTTGAACTCTGCGTTCAGTAGAGATCCCAAAATGGGGGCGGGTGCGGTGTTCTTTAACAAATCCCTATGGAAGTAATTAGCTACCAAACACTTGAAATAGAGCGTCTACACGAAGTGCACCTCAGATACCCTGCAGACAGCATAAGGGGAGGTGCACTAGCACTTGCTCTCAGCATCCTTGAGTGGAATCGAGCTCCATCAACGTATAGTTTCGTATCCTTGCTACATTTAGTGCTATGCAGATGCTCCCGCGACTTTGTCGGGCTGTAATATACATTCACAATTATGGTCACGGAAAACTATAACTCCTCGAGTTTTGAAGTTACAGTGATGAGACATACACCATTCGATTCGCAATTAAAATATCTAGAGATTGTCGGGCCACTTTTTTCGATTTCGTTATAGTTTTGAAAAATATTTTGAAAAAGGGGGGGAAATATGGGTAAATTTCGAAAAATTCAATTTTTTTTAGAAAAATCGTCATAAAAAGAGAACCAAGAAAAAAATTGGAAAAGTGGCCCGAGAATCGCTTTACGCATCGAATGATACGTGTGTCTCGATGTTGTAGCATGTGATTTGCAGCAGTTATAACTTTTTTTGAGTACCCCCCTTTTTGGCCGTTTTCTATGAATTTCACGTTTTCTTTCATTTTTTTTTCTCGAAAAATTCACATGAACAAAAAAGTCTTAGAATTCTGTTTCACATATGTGTACCAAGTTTGGAGACGATCCTTCCCTAAATATAGAAAATAGATTTTGGGGTGAAAGGTCCTCTTAACTTTAAACAAAAAGTTGGGTTCAGTACTTAAATTCTTCAGACGAACGAGTTCAGCTTCATAGCAAGGATAATGAACGTGAATGTGGCGCAACGCACCTAATGCATCAAGTATGTAACACCCCGTCTGATTGCTCGGCACAGTTCAAGGGAGGATTTACTCGCCAGGACCAGTTGCATGTGACGAGTAAGGTTCGATTGCATCGACGAGTAAGGGTCGAAATGCATCAGAATTCAAGGTAAAGTTAACATATCTGTTTACGCAGTTAAATAATGGAATAAATAACCCCAAGAAATTAGTTGCGATCAGAAAAGGGTAGAGATACACAGATTTGTCATTGAAACGAAAATGCAAACTGTAATCAACCTTATATTTTAAATGCTAATCTCTCAAATTGGAAATATTATGGCATCTATCGCCCAACTTACACGCAAACTTTAACATGCCAATTTACGAAATTTCAAAATGAAATGTACGATGCAAAACGATACAGAACTTCCGCATCAATGATGCAACTTAGCAAGGAACTATTGGCATCAAATAGCATAAAGGCCTGACGCGGTACGAATATATACACAGATATATAATCAACAACCAAGAATTATTACAGTAAATGTATTTCCCTATGGAAGGCATCAATACATGAGGGACATGTATGAAGAATGGATAGTAGAACATGATGGAATTTGGCATGATATTTACCAACCTAAGCAGCGTTTGAGAAAAGTTGGGGTACTGACTTTCTTAAACACAAACCAGGCACTTAAGCTTTTGATGCACAGTTAAGTCTCTGATGTTGGAGATGGAGTTATCATTATTTCATTAAGAAACATTTAAATTCTTCAACCGTCATCGTAATTTATGATCGTAATGGTCATCGTAGCCATCACCCTAATCGTACTCGAGGTCATCATCTTCCAACTCGGGGTTATCACCGTTCGACTCATAGAATAGAAGTGTCGGCACTGAAGAAATAGGCCCATGGCCTGTTGCCGATTCTTGTTCATAGAATATAATAGAAGTGTCGGCACTGAAGAAATAGGCCCATGGCCTGTTGCCGATTCTTGAATTTTTCGTGACTTGATTCACAAGGGATCCGGCCTTTGAAACCCGATCTTTCCATAACTGACGATTGATAGATAGCTGCTGGACTTATTGCCTGGTCCGTAATTTGCTAGGCATTTTAAGACTGAACATATGCTCCTGCATAGCTTCGTCTAGTCTGTTCTTGAAGGCGTTCATACTCGGAGCGTCAACGATACTATCAGGGAGGCTGTTCCACATGTCGGTGACTCGAAGCGAGAAGAAATGTTGTCGCATGGATGTGTTACAACGCAGTTTTTTTTGTTTATAGCTGTGGCCCCTGGTGTCGGTTCTTGTTTCAAATTCTAGTAATCCTTCTGGGACCTTGTATAAGCCATGAGTATACTTGTATGCTTCAATGAGTTCCCCACGCAGACGTCGATAACTGAGGCTTGGAAGCTTCATAATCTTTAATCTTTCCTCATAGGACTTGCTTTTTAAGCCCGGAATTATCCTTGTTGCACGTCTTTGAACACTCTCTATTAAATTTTTGTCCTTTTCAAGTTTCGGTGACCACACGACGTTTCCAAACTCTAGGTTCGGGCGCACGACAGCAACAAACAACTGCTTCATCGCTTCTGCATCTAGGAACTCGAAAGAGCGTCTTATCAGTCCAAGTCGTTTATTGGCTTTATTAAACCTTCAATATGCTTAGCAAATTTCAACTCATTGTCGATATTAACTATTAAAACTTTTTCCATTGTCGACTTCGACATCAACACTCTGTCGTTGCAACCGTGTCTTCTCATACTGTAATCTTGCTGTTCAATATTCTTGCCAAGGTGGATTACTTTACATTTGTCAGCGTTAAAACGCAGCTGCCACTTATCAGCCCAGTCAACCAGCCTGTCAAGATCACCTTGTAACTGTACTTTTTGCGACGTATTCTTCACTGTATTATAAATTTTTGTGTCAGCATACATCGAGCACACGCTAGACACAGCTTCTGGCAGATCGTTTATAAACGCAACGAATAAAACAGGCCCGAGAACGCTTCCTTGTGGCACGCCGCTGCGCACTGGAGGCCAGTCTGATAAGGACCCATTAATACTGACACGTTGTCATCTCCCTACTAGAAAATCTCTGATCCACTTGAGTACATTGCTGTCAATTCCCAAAGACTGCAAATTCCGCAACAGCCGCTCATGTGGGACACTGTCAAATGCCTTGGCAAAATCGAGGTACACTGCATCTACTGGCTCCCTTTCGTCCAGCAGGCGGGTCCATTCGTTCAGAGTAGACAAGAGGTTAGTGGTGCAGGATCTCCCAGCAATAAAGCCATGTTGACAGTTTGATAGGAGATTATTAGCAGTCAAATGATCTATCAATCGATTCCTCACAACAGATTCCATTACCTTACAAACGACACTTGTCAAACAGACAGGGCAATAGTTGCCCGGGCAGCTTTTGTCACCTTTTTGAATAATGGTGTCACTTGAGCTTCTTTCCAGTCAGCCGGCAACATTCCTTCGTTCAAAGTTTTTCGAAAAAATGACGTCAAAGGGCCGGCTAGGACAGTTGCTAACTCTTTGAATAATCTGGGGTGGAAGCCATCTGGTCCACATGACTTGTTTGGATTTACAGCGATAAGGCGCTTGAGAACCTCTTCTTCTTGTATTTCAAAACTTGTTAATTTAGAGCCGACTGGGAGCTCCTCAATAGCTGGAATACTGTTCAAGTCCTCTTCAGTGAATACGCTACTGAAAAACTGATTAAGAACGTTAGCCTTGCCCTCATCAGAGGAAATCTTTCGTTGATCTACTTTCAAATCAGAAATACCGTCCTTCATTTTGCACTTCGAGCTAGCATACAAATGGAAGGCTTTCGGGTTCTTTTTTGCATTATTAGTAAAATTTTTTCGAGGTTTTTTTTACTGCGGTGCGACAGCTTTCTTTAGCTCATCATCACACTGTTCCAACTCTTCCAACTTGACATCATTATAATCATCCTATCGGTCGTAGAATGGCGTAAAACATCGTCGTCATACAACTCGCGATCTCTCACCCCTAGTCGTGTTTTCTTTCACCCAACTCGAAGTCATCATCTTCGTACAACTCGCAATCATCTCTCTGTAGCTCGAGGTCATCATCACCAAACAAATCGCAATCTTCTTTCTTCAACTTGAGGTCGTCATCATCCAACCCATCCAGGAGGTTAGGGTCCTCAAGGTCCGGATCCTCGACATCAGGCTCAGTGATGTCAAGCTGATGCAGCGGCACAGTAGCGAACATTCGCTTGATGTGTTCGTCGAGATACTCGGGTATGGCGTCTGCAAGCTTGGCACTTCGGTAGAGATTAATCTGCTTCAACACTCTGGAGTGGTTGTCAAGCTTGCGCTCGAGCTTTGGCAGGATGTGAGTAGCTAGGTAGTCCAGCGAGTCTGTGCAGCACAAAGAGTTGGTTACAAATAAAAGTAATTGAACATTCTCAATGGTAAAAAAATGGTTTAGTGAGAATTTTTGAAGTTTGGAGTGATATACTAAATAAATTCATCACTAAAATTAATGTTCAACAAGGTTCTGAAAACTGCAACGTAAATGTGCATCTGTGAGTTGAGTGATTCTGTTACAAGAAGACAAGAGAGATAACGTTCATTAATTTCAGAACTCAATAATAAAGTACAAGTCATACAGAAAAATAACCTTCATTGTTGCGAGATTATTATTATTCTGTGTACAAAATCCAGCAGAGAAAAATTACACCGAATTGTGTACGAAGAACGCCACTAATAATACCTAACAGCTAAAACTATGATTGACAAGCCTTGCATAGATTGTACTGCGATGTATACCGATAATATATAAATGTAACCAAATCTCACACAGCCTGTGTGAGATTTTGACACACAATCTAGCATGTTATTGCGTACTCGAATGTATTTTCAGGTAATTTTCCAGTGCATGTGGCATCACGTCATAATGTGTCAGAAATATTCGGCAGTTTCAGTAACATCAATTATATTTCACGTCATGTTTTCATGATGCGCTTGCACTTCAGGCCACTGTCCGGGTAATCGTTAATTGGGCATTGTAGTTAAGACGTTCATGCTTCATCACGCTGCTACATCATTCGATGTTCTAGACCTGTCTAGCGACGACTCGGAAACGAAGGACGATGAAGGCGGCGCATCAGCGTGACCATGGGTTACGAAGTCCTAAACTCATCATAAGGTAAGGTCATAAGGTGATGTGTACAAGTTTCATGTGAGTGTTGCATGAAATGTTATCTATTACTCTGTCCTCTTTGTGGGAATACTCCAAAAAACCCACCAACAGAGCTGTTATTCGTTACTCTGTCTTCTTTGTGGAGATCCTCCAAGGCTTCAACCATTCAGCAAGCCAAACTTATTTTTGTGAGTGTCTTGGTCCCACTTTTGCTGACCACTCCTAATTATGTTGCCTCATCATCGGTATATGTCTACTTTTCTCATTGTTAGGATGCATTGTTCACAGAGTAATTCGTTCTTTCGACAAGCATTACCCAAATGTTAATTTCTAAAGTTATACTGTGACCTAAACATCAGATGGATAGATCTTTACTGTCTCTGAACAGAGTTAAGAAAGATAAATTAGTTTGTTGTACGCATTTATAGTTCAGATGCCGGATTTGTTCATACTATAATATGTTACCAAGTTCCTTTTCTTGCGTGATTACTTCTCAAGTTGTATACTTTATGTGCTTATTTTGTTTGAAGATGTTTGAGACAACTATGACTTTAGAGGGATAGTTTTTTTTAGAGTAGTTGAAGCATTGATTCGGTGTAGTCTAGTCGGTTCTGTTCTGCTTACAATGCAGTTGGGTAAAACTAAATCAGCAGCATGCTGCAATAAGTGATATAGCATACGGAGTGTGGAAACAAGCAAGATAGCAGCTTTCAGCAATAAGTGCTATACCGTATTGATAGTGGCTATCAGCAGCATGCAGCAATAAGTGATATAGCATATGGAGAGTGGCTATCAGCAGCATGCAGCAATAAGTAATATAGCACATGGAGTGGAGAGAGTGGAAACCAGCAAGATACCGTCGAGGTTGCGCCGCTGCGGCAGAGGCACCCAGGCAGCAATAGCATCACGCGCCATGCGCCGCAGGTAGCTGTCACTGAAGCCTTCAAACTCCGGTAGGGCCATCATTGACCTGAAGTCCATCACTGCCAGTGTCGTGGCAGGGGATCTGATCATCCTGTAAACAAAATAATTCATCAATTGATAGCAGATGAACGACAAAGAGAGCCCAATGTATAAGGCAGAATTATAAGTTAAACTTGAGATACTTTTTAAAAATCTGACCAACAATATTGTATCACATCTATCAGGCCATTTTTAGAGCATAAAGGCTTGAACATGAAATTTCTGCCTAAAAGTAAGAATCTATGAATCGAGACAAATATAGAGACGCCAAAGTTCTATAAATAGAGTACCTATGCATTATCTCTAAATAGCAACATTCTCGCAGCTGTTTTTGGTAAAAGTGGTTGCTTAGATTAAACTAGATGAAAAATTGTTGGATGAACACCATAAGATGAATTCATTTTTGTACCAACAAAAATATATATACATGTCCAATTTGGAAAGAAATTAAACTTAAATTAAACAGCTGTAAATTCTTAAATGAAGAATTTACACAATAAGAAATGTATAGAGTGCTCTTCTCATTGCAAACAAGAGCTGAACACAATAAGTGCAATCATTTACTGATGAACAACAGTTTAATCTAAGTACTTCTTCCTGATTCAGGCAATTGATAAGAAATGGATAGTCGGGTATTTTTCAAATTAATCCTTACAAAGACGCTGGAAGTGGAGTTGGTTGCAAATAATGAAGAAATGTATGAAGAGAGCATTAATACAAAATATAACCATTAAAATACAATTGAATAGGTATATAAAATGAGATTATCTGATCAACTAAAAGTTAAATAAAAAAAAAATATTAATAAATAAGTCAAAAGATTGCAATATCTATCTTAATTGACAATCTCAAATATTGAAGTACAGACAATGTATTATTACCAGAGATCAAGTAAAAAATTCAACAAATCAATTAAAATTAAAAAAAAATAAAATAAAATTACATATTAACAAAGTTAAAAAAACCAAAAGACTTAACAACCAATTGAACTTTGGACGGCCTTGTTTTGTGTGATGGCTGTCACAGAACTAGTATCATCATAGGAAGAAACTTGGTTTCAATAACATTAATGATTACAATAGAAGATACAGTTCTGGCAAGTAGAATTTAAGAATCAAGAAGAAAAGAGCAAGTTTACACCGCTTTAAAAATTTTTAATTAACCTATGCTAAATTTTTCTCTTACTCTTTAATGAGCATCAATTCATGCTTAGATGTCCACTTTGGGAGATCCTCAGCATCTGGGTGCTTCAGCTTGTAGTGATGCAAATGCAAAGCTTCTTTTACAAATAAGCGATACGTCTTGCGGCAGGCAAATGGCGTTCGTGTCTGCAAAAAAATGCTCCTGGGCAATAAAGCTTAGCACTGATATAAATCATACAATGAAATATTTTAATAACCAATTTTCCAAGTGCAATACTTTGATACAAGATATTAGCTCAGAGTTCAATATATTTTATCACACACAATAGTTTGAATTGCTCATTTTCAATTTTAATAAAATAAATATATACCATGAAATAAAAGGGCATGGAAGTTCAGTCAATCAGATGATTTAATTTAATGGCAGCACAATGTAGCAAGGAATATTCATAACTTTCAACTATACAGGGATAATTAGAGGACATATTTTCTTGATGAATTCTACATTACAGGCTATAAGGAAATTACAAATCTGTATTACTAGTATACACTGGAACGAATAGGATTCAAGTCAAGACTGAGCTGTATTCACAGGAAATATTTCAGGATAACAAACGAGTTTATAGTAAAGAAACATAGAAGGAACAAATTTCTGATGATTTCCAAGTAAACACATCTGACTAACGACATGGTATTCTGTCACATATTTGCACTTGAAATCTGTCTACCACCTAATGTCAATCAGGCACCACATGGCTTATATTGGCAACATTTTGTGGAGAGGAGGCTATGGGCAATGAGATGCAGCCCATCAATAAATCTTAGTGCATTGCCAATAAAAATTTATTATAAGCTTGTCCGGTTGCTGTATCATTTGAGGATTTTAATCACCGGTGTGAGATTTTATTATTGGCAGATTCAGTATCACTCCTGTTTGTAATTGTCTTAGTTGCAGAGATCTGTTTAATGTCCCAGGACTCTATACCATGATAATTTATTAACATTGACCAAAATACCTACGATTGACAGAAAGCAAGAGCATCAGTGTCACATTAAAATTTCTTTATTTAGCCTGTTGCAATCTTCATACCATTATTCACAACCTATTGCCACACTTCGAGTAGATATTATTTTTTCATTTTACAGCTTAAATGAGCTGAAGGTACAGTATATGGTTTTGACAGAAGTAACTCTACATGCAAAACTTGCAATTAAAAACAAAACAATCATCAGTCCTCCCTGCTGATTGATAGGAATGAAGCTAAGGAGATGAAATGCTCATGAATTCTAGGCAAATTTTAACTTGAAAACAACTCACTCTAACAAAAAGGAATACTTTCTTCCAGTTAATATTCTTGAGGGAAGAGGAGGCATTTTGAGTTGGCATTTTGTTCCAGGTGTACACCACTCCTTTGATGAGACGCAACATCTCTACTTCTGTCCATGGTCCATCGGCAACTGAAAACAAGTTATGGTCAGCTTAGCCATTGCCATGCTAATACTCTAAATAACTTTAATAAATTGGTGTAACAAGAATAATAATTTAGACAAACACTTCTTCAATTCACATTATGTCAGGTGCTTAGAAGTAAAGAAGCTCAGATTCCTGCATTGTATTTTCAAAAGCTGAGCTAAACAGAGCACTATACTTCTTTCAGGAGAAGTCAAGAAGGCAATAGCAAGTAAACTACAACAAAGCTGTTTCCAATGCACCGTAGCAAAAATCTTTCATAAATAAAACTGCATAATGCACAAACAGTGTCTGCAGTGGGTTCAAAATAAGAAAATAAGTTCATTTGAAGAAGCATGCAAATAAGTTTTGTCATTTGACTACTTATGAGACCAAATTAAACGAAATGCATTTGGCTGTAAGTGAAACCAAAAATGAATTAACCTTAGCCAAATTGTTTGATACCATACTCAATTATTAAAAGATTGTGAAGTCAATCAACATTTATTGTTGAAAGATCAGTAAAGTAATGATTAATTTTTTTCTGTACATGATTCTCATACAACAGATAATATCTATTTGGGGGAGTTTCCATTTTCCAAGGGCTAAATATTGCAGTCTTGTGCTGGGAATGGTAGCTTTGTAAAAGCAAAAAGTAAACAAATTACATCCTTCAGTACTGTCAAACGGGGTAATAAGGGACGGGCAGGGTAAATCAGGACAGTCGTCCACATTCTGTAGGAATCTTGTAGCAGCTAAACTAATCAAAATATTGCAAAACTTAAAATAGTTGCATAAAGTTCAACATTTCAAACTTTTTTATTTTGGAAAAGTACCTCTGCAAAGGTCTGTAGCGAAAAAAAAAATTCGCCATATTAAAAAATTTTACTTACATAAAAATTGCAGACAGGTTTTAGCCTAAAAACTTGATTGATGAAATTTGTGTACCTCACTCTAAAAAAATGGCAGCCATTTCTGCACGATGGGGTAATAAGGGATACCTCCCCCGAAGTAATAAGGGACACCCCTAAAAGCACATTTACCATAGAACTTCAGTGAGCTAAGGTTCCAGTTAACCAAAAAATCAATTAACAACAAAAAACTTTGATTGCATTCACCTAGCTCATCAAAAAAATTCACTTAATGAAAAATTAATGCATCATTGGTCATCACAAAATTGTGCATAGAATGTCATAGATAGAATTGAGCACTGGGCAACATAGAATGAAAAGTAATTAAATCAAACTATGTTTTATTTCTCCAAACTATATAATGGTTGTCACTAAAATATTCCTTTTTGTTTCAGGTATGTTTTTACATTTTTTATTTTGTTATAGTGAATTCATTTGACCCAATTAAAATGGTGTGAAATGACAAGCCATCCTGTAGGCTTACAGATACATGAAAGTGCTATGCGGCAACTGATATGAAGCTTGCAATGGGCAAGGTNTCTGTCTCTTATACACATCTAGATGTGTATAAGAGACAGGTCCTGATGTGGTTGCGTTCTTGTATTTTGTCTCTGATGGCTTGGGGTAGAGGTGTCTGTTTTGTTTTTATTTTTCCTTTGGGTATATGGTGTTTGTCTGCTTGTAGAATGAGTCCAGTGAGTATCTTATTGGCAATGTGAACGTTGGTGGGTGCTGGAGTGTCACGGAGCGCTTGGTCTATTTCCTGCGAGTAAGCTGTCAAATCTGCTTTGTGGTAATTTGTGAAAGATCTGTTATAGGTTTTTATGCGGTAGTTGATTTTGGTACGAAAGTGCAATATGATAGGAACATGATCGGAACTGAGAGCTGTGAAAGTCGACCATGTTATCTTGCTTGAGATGACGTTTGAGGCTGTAAATATGTCTGGTGATGCGGGTTGCTGTTCTATTGTAGTGGGTATGCGTGTTGGCAAGTTTTCATTGAGAATGATGTGGTTGGAGTTTTGTATAAGTGAGTTGATAAGGTTGCCTCTATGGTCTGAGTTAGGAGAGTACCAGGATGGGTGGTGAGCATTTGTCTCCTGTAATAATGAAGTAGGGCTTGTTGAGGAGGTATATGAAAATCAGTGATGTGTTGGTTAAGGTTGTGGTGGTATGGTAGGTGTGTGTCCCTGGGAGGGATGTGTATGTTAGCTATGTGGACGAATTTGTTGTTAGATGTATTTTGACTAGTTGGGTTTCAGTGGCTTCTTGGTTGAGGTGTTGTGGTATAGTGATAGTTGTGAAAACTATGTTATTATGAATGTAGGTGATGAGTCCACCTCCTGTCTTGTGTGCCCTATCTAGATGAATAGCAGTGTAGTCAGGTATAGTGGGTGTGTGAGTCGTTGGTTTAAGTTTGGGTTCTTGGATTGTGATGATGTCGATGTCATGTTGTTTTGTAGTTAGTTTGAGGTCTTCTATTTTGTTTGTAAGTTCATTTGTAATTATCTGCATTATCTTGATATCAGAGGGTGTTTTTTGAGGTCTGATTGGTGGAGAGAGGGGTTGTGTGGGATTGTTGGGTGATGTGGCTAGCAGGGACAAAGGTGGTTGGGATGCAGTGACTGGGTTCAGAACAAGTTGCAATGCTGGTGGTGGCACAGTATTTGGCCTGGGAGGGATTGGTGGAGTGTGTTGGGGACAGGTCCAGGAATTTGTGTATTAATGGAGTGTTATGTTTGTGCAGTTTTTATGGACCCAGTGTGGGGCAAGACTATTACAGAGAAATGAGTATTGGCGTTTTGTGATTTGTCTATTGCATATGTCACACATCCAATCGGACCCGGGTTCTCCTTGACATCCCCTGCTAGTAGCAACAGAGACGCCAACCACACGTGGGGAGCCACAGGCTGGCAGCACCAAAAAACATGGGCTTCGGGTCCCCCTTACAGGGACGGGGAAAAATTTGCTGACAATTTGGGCATGTATCTGAGCCACGCTCCAACCACAAGCAGGCTGACAGCATTTTGGAGCATCAGCAGCTGCTTCTTCATGGAACATTTTTTGAATGCCATGTTTCATGCAAATGAAATTAGCAGTAAAGATAAATAATCAAATTCATCAATAAAGCCTCAACCTATGCGTGCTTTTAGATAATAATCTTACTTACAATTTAATATTCAATGACACAAATGAAAATAAATAAAATAAAGTATGTAACATCAAACTTGGTAGCAAGGAACAATTTTGATCATTTTTGATAACTTTTTACACAAACATTTCATATTGAATTTGGGTTCATTTCAAAGGTCTTTATGATGAAGAGGAGCATACTGCCCCTCTTAGCTTTCTTGTTTAATTTCCACTCCCTTGTATAACTTTCATTGCTAGACCTATGATTTATCATGATATTTTAGATCATGCTACCTCTCATTGCTTTCTTTTACAGGAAGGAGTGGTTTACTTTAGCTTTGTTAATAATAATGTATGTGTTTCTTCTTTCTGCATTTGTTTCAGACTTATATCCTTGTTATTGGCCTAACCAATCACTTGCATCCAGCATTTGTCAGTGTAAAGCTTTATTACACTTGTTACACACCAGCATGGTTTGTTAGACTAATGCCTATCTGCACCTGACTTCCTGAATGCCTGCGCCCTTTGCCTGAATCCCAGTTCATCTTGAAGTGATTGTCACCCTATACCAGCTTGCCAAACTACTCTGGTTCTCCTGCATACTCCTGTTTCCAAGGCAACGTCACTGCTCCTTAATGGTGAGTTTGACATGAATTGGTAATGTTATGCATTAATTTCCTGTCCTGTCCATTGTCATGCATTTAACTAAACTGCACCCAATTTGGCTTGTGATTTTGGTGAAAATTTGTTTGCTATTACAGTTATATAGTGTTTATTTGCTTCTGAGTGTTAACATTGTTTTATTTGCAGAACTGATGTTAAGTCTTGCATTTTGCTTTGTGTCCTCTTTTGCTATACCTTACTGTGTAATTGTCCTGCTTCTTGCTAAAGCTTTATCCCTTGTTGCTAAATTTAACCACAGTACTAACAGCATTCACCTGAAGTAGGAGTCCTTTATTCACTATCAAGGGTAGTAGACTTAAGTTTGTACTTGTTAATTTGATAGGAGCAGCCGGTGCCGGGCCCAGCTGGCAAGCTGTTTGGAGACATGGAGACCCAGACTGGTGGCCCTTGACCTTCCCAACCTGAGTATCATCACCTAATCCTGAACTTTTTGAAGACTGTGGCATTTTTGCATATATATCTATATGTATATTGAACTGAATTGATGTTGCCCCTAACTGATTATATAACCAAAGCATTGGCTTAACAGTTCAACTCATTGGCCATTCTTGACCATTTCTCAAGGGCTTATAGTTAGCATAGCTAACTGCAGAGTATTAGGGCATATGCCTGTTGTCAACGTAGTTGAGTAGAACTGGGACTTGATTTACTGTGCCAGGAGTAACCTAATGGGACTAGTCCAGTGCCCTACTATTTGAAGTAAATAATATCAATGTTGTTAGGTTAGTTCCATTGTGCTAGTGTTTGGTGATATTAGTTCCTAGTCTGCTCCAGTTGGGGCATTATTTATCCATGCCACATTGAGATATGTCATTCTTGAGGATCGCGTTAAGCTTAGGATATACCTGGTTGTTTTCTAGTTAAGAGTAGTATGTAAGTGTTCTGTTGTTTACTTTGCATCAATTTGAACCCAAACTCTGGTCAAATACTTGTTTGTCAAGCAACCTTTTGCAGTAGAATATACACATCATAGACTGAAAAGTTCTATGACCAAGTAGGATAGCAGCCATGTCTCATGTAATTGTTTAAGAACCTTAATTCTAGTGTCCTGTCCAATTCCTGGTGTCTTATTTTTGCTCATTACAAGATATAGCGAGTATCCTGCAATTTTCTGGTGCCCATGAGGTTTCTGGTTCTCTGGGTGGTGCTCCACCTGGTATCCCTAGTGGTCAGTGACTCTTGGCTCCCCTGCTACTAGACGGGTGAGTACTCAGGGGTGTGTGCCTGGGGTGATTGCCTGTGCGTGCTTGAGGTAGTCTAAAAGACCACAACTACATTGCCCTCAAGCAATACATCATTGATCTGTGCATCAGGTAATGTGTACTGATAGTTTACCGCTTACTCCCAGAAATCAAGTTAATAACCACCATTTCCTCTTTACAGAGTTCTGTCTTTGTCCCTGTGTCTACTGTATCTCATGTCTGGTTACTTATCTGATGGTATATGGTGTGTTTCTTGATCATCAGGTGTCATAGGCTAGGAGGTGCTTTTCTGACGCAGTAGTTTGCATATCCATTGTACCAGTTGTGCTTGAAATTGTCGAGCCAAGTACCATATTTCCATAACCAAGACTTTCCCCATAGGGCGGCATAAATCAACCTGTGAAAGATATGTTTTGCTACCTAGGGATGATCTGATACCTGCTGTTAGAGTTTAGGCCCTTAGTTCTAAGTATACTGGTGTTTTGTAATAACCTGTTTTCATTGTCCCAAATTCAGTCTAATAATCTTGAGTAGGGTAGTATCTTTGGGTGAGTGGGCTCATATCTACATATTTTTTGTGGAACCCTAGTTGATCGAACTGCTACAACGAGGGCTATTTTATGACATCTAGGAAAAAATTCCATATGCTATTTGTAAGGTGTCAGACACAAAAGAAAAGTGTCCTGAATTACCACTGGGAATGGGGTAATGGGGAAAAAAATTTAATTTTAAAACGTAATGGGAATTTAAACTCAATTTTAAAACGTTTGAAGCATGAAGAGTGTACTCATCCATTACTAACAGTACTCTGAAGTTCTCCTCTTCCTTTATAGATGATATAGATATAGAATAAAGGAGCTTATACATGGAGTGACTAGTCATGTCGATTGGTTGAGTCGACTACAGTTCTTCCAGCTGAGAGCCTATACATGAGGAGAGTGTTTTTGGTAGTCTGCCAGCGCCAGTGCAACATTGGGAAGTGTCAAGTAAGGTGTGTGCATGGTGGAAGCAAGGAAGAGCTCCACAGTTGTGCATACTATAGTGGCTAAGAGACACGCAAAACAGAGATAGCAACGCAGTCGTGCACACTAAGAAGGCCAAGGCTGTACTGGGCACATTTGACTGGCTTGAAACAAGTTGAGCTGCTTTGCGTGCAATGCACCAGCTAGTCACCTCTAAAGACATTAAGCATCACAAATATTAGTCGAGTCCACTAGTCGACTCAACTAATTGACGCAACTAGTTGCCTTGTGCATAAGCACCTTATATGACATTTTCTGTGATTTGTACTTATTTTTCCTTGATTGATATGATATTACTGTATCCATGGACATGATATTGAGCATTGACAACGACCTTGTCCACTGAAAGCTTCACATCAGCAGCCATGTAGCATTTCTTCCGTATCTGTGAGCTTACAGGACTGGGCTTGTAATTTTGCACCATTTTAATTGGGTCAAGTGAATTCACTTGAAAAAAAAGAAAAAAAAGATTGAAAATAACATACCTGAAACGGAAAGGAATAATTTTGTGACAACCATCATATTTTTTGGAGAAATAAATCATAGTTTAAGCTAATTGCTTTTCATTCTATGTTGCTAAGTGCACAATTCCATCTATGATATTCTATGCACAATTTCGTGATGACAAATGATGCATTAATTAATTTTTTGTTAAGTGAATTTCTTTGTTTCTCACCAGCCAGAGCTGCTACAAGCTAACTAAACATTATCAGGGCCCACAATTCATCATGGTCAGGGGTGGACGCTCATAGCTCCAGGCCAAGACATTATGTAAATTAATTTCCAGGCAACTGTGCTCATTTATCTAACCTTCAATGCCAGTTCAATGGCAATGGATTAAAATCATAAAGATTAGACCCTTAAAATAGATTATTTAATTCACTTCTTGTTCAAAATCTTAATTACACAAAAAGGATAAAATAGTTTATTTGATATCAATTTGTTAAAATCTCAATTCTGCAAAATTAAAATAGATTGTGTTTAAATTCTGACTAAAATCACTTTATTATGCAAGACACACAACTCTGTATTGCACAGAATTCGCATGTAGTTTACAAAAGGCATTAATTCACATAGGCAAAACAACAGCCAGGAACACTGGATATAGTCAGCACAAGTCAGTTAGTTGGCAAAATTAGACTTACAAAAGTATCTGACATCAGCTACTGGCTAGTCTGCCTTTGTAGCACTTGGCTGACTGTTCAGGGTCACCATCAGCTAACAACTGTCTAACCAGACTCCAGCAACTGCCAGTCTCAGCTAACTACGTTGTGGCTTGTAACATACAGGTTCATCTGTTGTGTGTAACACAATTATTTGATGTGTACAGTCTCCTACATTTTCATGAATGATAATAATGATATAGCAGATAACACATTTAAAATTCCTTCATGTTAATAGTTAGAGGCAAGTAAATTTGGGAATGACAGTTTCCTTCTGTTCACACACTGAGTGAGGTAAATGTAATCAGATTCCTTGTTGCTAGTACATTTTTTTTGTTAACGGGAGCCTTTGCTAACCAAGGTTCTACTGTAAATGCATTCATAGGGGTATCCTGTATTAGCCCAGGGAGTGTCACATATTACCCCATCATGCAGAAATGGCCACCATTTTGTTTTGGATTGAGGTATAAAAATTCCATCAATGAAGTTTTAAAGCCAACACCTGTCCCCAACTTTTCTGAATGCAAAATTTTTCAATACAGCAAACATTTTACAGGGATTTTTTAGAGCCATTAAATGTATGATTTCTCAACTTCCTTTATGCTACAGAGATAGTAAAAATGTTTAAGTTTACACCACTATTTTTAGTTTTGCAATATTTCCATTAGTTTTGCAGCTATAACATTTTTATGTCATGACAGAGGACTGTCTCAATTTACCCCGCCCATCACTTACAACCCCATTCAATGCTAGTAGATCCAATTATATTATATTAATGATATGTTAGATTAAATATTCTATCAAATTATATCATTTATTATGCATTAATTAGAAACAAGAATCTCACTTGGGCAGAGCTTGAAGCAATAGTTTTTATAGAGGTACTCGCACAGATCTGTGGTAGTCTTAGAGTTCAGGATGAACTCCATAGAAAGAAGATCCATGCCATAGCGCTTGAGAAAAATGTCAATTAGACACTGATCTCTTTTCTCTCTGTTTCGATGAATTAGCTGGCTGAAGTTATTCGATACTAATGAATAAATGTGACATCTAACCTGTGGGATACAAAAAATACAATATGAAACTATTTGCAATATTAAATAATTAAAACATGTTCATAATATTCCTGATCCAAGGAGCACTTTATACTACTTCTAAATTATATTAAAAACTTCAAGGCTATGCAGTAATAAGTTTTGTTAAAAATTCAAGTGAACTAAAAATTTGAATTCAAGAGATATTTTTTGCAGTTTGTGTTTGAATGCAAGATGATGAGACTCAATGGCGGGCCCTTGTCGGCCTAATCATCTGCATTGATTCATGCTAAGCTATGAATGGTTTTTGATACTTAGAAAAATACATTGAGAAAGATTTAAGATATCAAGATATGATATCTTATAAATCAAGATATGATTTATGGCTAAAAAAATGAAAAGAAATCAATTAGAATTAAATCACAAATAGGCTTCCAGGATATTTAAATTGTAGACATTTAAAAAATTAGGCTATCATAGGCTCCAGTTTCATTATAAAATTCATAATAGTGTTCAAGCAATAGCAGCTGAGAGCAAGAAGGCAAAACTTGATGGAAATTAATGCTTAGGAAAAGGATTGCATAAGACCCACATCAGCTCTGTCTGGTACTTTCAGATTCTACTTTGTTGAGATAATATATGGATCAAATTGCGGAACAAGGTTGTGAATAAAGATTGGATTCAGTATTTTCAAGTAATTGATGAGAACAAGAGTGATCACGCTATCTCAACTGGATTGTAGCTGAACATTCATGATGTATTTGAAATGAAATGTAGGCATCTCATGCAGGTGATATGGTAATACAACACATATTTGAAGTTATTCTAGTTAGAAGCTAGTTTGTGAGCAAGGTTTAACAAAACAATATTATTACACATACCTGGAGCAAACTTCGGTTTAATCCTTTCCTCATATATGTTAGAAACTGTTTTTGTTGACGCACTGAGATGAAGTAAGCCTTCTCTACTACAAATGAGTCATGACTGCCTTTCAAAATGCAGGTGCGGTAGTTTATCAGGGGGCGCATGTCATAAAATTTATACTCCTGCACAAAAATTAAACATGGTGAACTCAATTTAGAGAAGACTGGAATTATTTGTGGTAATTGAAAGACTATCTGCCATTAAAACTACAATGATTTCTATTGTAAATGATTTCTACAATAGAAGCTAGTTTTATATATATATATGTTCAAGTTTTGGTCATTAGCAAGACAGGATTGGTAACATAACCAGACAGGGGTTAGATATTTGACAAAAATTGCATCCAGTTATATACTTAAAAACTGGACACAAAAATGAATGAACTTCAATACTGAACATTCTAAAAATTCCAACCTCATTAGGTCAGGGCTAGGAGTATAAGAAACACTTCTTTCAGTTGCTAGATACCTTTCTACAATGGTTCGGTCCAGCCAGGTCACATTCATCTTACATTTTTTTAATAATTTTACAGAGGTCATTGGATACAGAATGATCATACTTCATATAACTATAATCTATATCAATAAATACTATATATAAATTATATAAATATTAATTGCTAAGACCGGGACAATTATTAGATGCCATTTCTTAAGGAGTTATTCAGGTAAAGAAAATTTTGCCGACAGGACCTAACCTTGGTAAAATTGCAAAACAAATTTGTAAAAAACTTTTTTTCCACACCTCTAACCCTAACTTAAATCCTAATCTAACAAGGTTTTTGTAAATTAGCATGTTACAGAATGGAATTCATCTTTTTAGCATTGCACTATTAGCAAATACTAATCATAGGTTGATTCTTCAACATGGATACATTTCAAGACAGTAATTGAACAACATTCTGTTGCACTATATACCAAAAATGTTGCACTATTGTCGAAAGTATGACTCATTTTGATCAAACAATTCCGCCACAAAGTTTTCAGGGAATTAGATGAAACCCATCGCAGAATATCTCTACTTATGCATATATTGGTGTAGTTTGGCAGAACCTTTTTTTATGCAAGTTTGATTGAAGACCAGAGCATGCTTTTTATTAATAATCTTCTTGTTTGTTTTTCAATGAGTCAAACAAAATTTCTTGCTGGTGCCGGGAGATCAAAAAGCAAGTTACCAAATGACATTTTAATGGATTGCAACATTCCAAAATTACAATTTTCATTATCAAGCTGTTGAAGGTTTTACAACACTTGAAACTGATATTTGGAAATGACAGCAGTACCGTACGTATCAACGGTAGGATACCATGGTATTCTACCATCAACGGTAGGATACCATTGATACATACTACTATGGCAGGTGGGGGGGGGGGCTGGCAGGGCTTTGTACAAATATACTTGCTACATCATTATTCCTAATGTTTCTTTGGTTGTTCATTAGTGAACAAATTAGAGACATCCAGTGAATCTATTAGACCAAAAGGGTGCAAGGCATGAAGAATTTCCAAGAAGTAATTTCCGGATTTTGGAGAATATTTCTTTGGGACATTTTGTTTGATCATAGCATCCAGCTCTTTAGAAATCTTGTATACTGGAGAAGTAACTTACAAAATTAAAGGCCCTGGAGGGTTGTGTTCTTTGTGAGTTTTAATGTTTCATAGAGGCAGCATGGAGAACAGCTCCCAAAAATTGGGGTAAGTCTTCTAGATTCTATTGCAGAGTTTGCTGTATTGGTTAATTTATTTGCTCTTATCTGAAGTTGTTCTGTTGGATCTCTTCTCTTCTACCAAAAGCAGATGAACAGAGGCTAGATAGTAGATGAATAAGTCCTAGTCAATCATCCACAGTAATATCAAGAGCACAGCAGATAACAAAAAATTAAAAATTCTGATCTACAAAAATAAGAAAATTAGAAGCCATGTCATGAATAATAATCCCTGTGACAAATCTGGACTACTTCCAAGAAACTAATGTTGTTTATAATTATCATGTAATATAAAAGGTTGTTGACTTCTTTGAAATATAAACTACAATTGCAGGAGGCTCACAATGAGACCATCACCCAAGCAACATTGGAAGCCTGCATCAGCATAGTTATAGGGTGCTCTGTTGCTTCAAGACCTTCATTATAACGAGTGAGTCCCCAGCTATCAAACTCTCAAACTCCAAAATACAGAATTCATCTGGACACTGAAATTTTTTCACAGTAATTTTAAACTGAGATTTCACATTGTATCCACAATACCCTTGATTTGTACTACTGTCATTTTCAACAGTTAAATCTCAAGTTTTGCAAAATCTTCAACTTTCTTGATATGAATATGGCATATTTAAATTTTGTGTTCTATTAAAATTTCATTTGGTAACCTGCTTTTTGATCTCCCGGTGCCAGCGAGAAATTTTGTTTGCCACATTGAAAAATAATAAGAAGATTGTAAATAAAAAGCATGCTCTGGTCTACAGTCAAACTCACAATTCAACACAACATACACTTTGGTAATTCCTGATTAAAATTTAGCTGCTTTTACTAAACTGAATTGAATCAATTCAAATCAAACAAACTGGTTGAGTAAAGGAAACTACTACATTGCAGGAGGCTCACAATGAGACCATCACCCAAGCAACATTGGAAGCCTGCATCAGCATAGTTATAGGGTGCTCTGTTGCTTCAAGACCCTCATTATAACGAGTGAGTCCCCAGCTATCAAACTCTCAAACTCCAAAATACAGAATTCATCTGGATACTGAAATTTTTTCACAGTAATTTTAACTGAGATTTCAAATTGTATCCACAATACCCTTGATTTGTACTACTGTCATTTTCAAGTGTTAAATCTCAAGTTTTGCAAAACCTTCAACTTGCTTGATATGAATATGGCATGTTTCAATTTTGTGTTCTATTAAAATGTCATTTGGTAACCTGCTTTTTGATCTCCCGGCACCAGCAAGAAATTTTGTTTGCCACATTGAAAAATAATAAGAAGATTGTAAATAAAAAGCATGCTCTGGTCTTCAGTCAAACTCACAATTCAACACACCATACACTTTGGTAATTCCTGATTAAAATTTAGCTGCTTTTACTAAACTGAATAGAATCAATTCATATTAAACAAACTGGTTGAGTAAAGGAAACTAACTTTTTTATAAAATGCTCTAGTTAATATTTTGTATAATTGCAGCAATAGTCTTGCAAAGCCATGAAAAATTGCCAACTATATTATAAACAAAAGTATATATATTTAGCAGAGTAAATTCTAGCATTTAACTTCATTCAGACAAATTAAAATTTCACAACTTACTTTTTGAAACTTATTCCAATTTTCAGCAATAATTTGGTTCTCTTTTTCAGTAAACATTCCTTTATTATACATGCTGTGTGGGTTTTGCTTCACTTTATTTAGGTTTTCAAACACAGTGTCTTCATCAGCATCAGTTCCCTTGTCCATGAATAACTTGCCAAGAAACTGTAATAAAAAAAATGTTCCATGAAATAACACATAAGAAAAACAAAAATCTCAAAGTGAGAACTGAATTTGCATCTTGGCTGTGTAATCATTCAGTAATATGGGAGAAACTGCAAGTTTTCCAATATTGGACAAGTTGTTGTTTTTGACCCTTCCCGCCTTGCTTCACGGGATGAGAAAGGGCCTAGACCCAGTTCTGGGGCCAGCCAAGTCAGTCACCCCAGCAAGCCAGCAGCCCAGTGGCACTCATGGGGTTTGCCTAAAGGTCATCCACCAACAGGGATGTGGGAATTTTAGGGCAGGAGAAAAGATGAGTGGTGTCATGTGTTGTATAGGCAAAGTGGGCAATGTAGAAAAGGGTGTGTGGTGAGATCTATTTTGTTTAGATATGAGAAGTAGTGATTCGTTTGTGCAAAGTTGTGCAAGGAGTCTGCATGCAGGTCTGGATAAGTTCATTTCATATGTGTGGATCTGTGGTGCAGGACTGTTTAGAATTTTCTTCTGAGGAAGGGTTGCGAGGTAGTTTTCTGTGATTGTAGAGTGGATTGTTTGAGATTTTGTTTGATTGTATCTTGTGTCATTTATTCTGGTGGAATATCTATATCAGTGATAAAGCCTGAATTGTGAAAAATGGTTTGTTTGATGAGGCGGTGTGGGTGCGTCTGCAAGGTAAGGGAATGTAGTGGTTGACTTGGATTTTGGACTTTCTGTCAGAGTAGTGAGGCGTGAATTTAAAGGTGTAATAAGAGTAATAGTTTGATTTCTTGGGGAAGGTGATGGGTGTTGGTGTCAGAGGTGCAACCTGTCTACCTTGAGTGCTGAGTTCTGGACTGTTTGGAGTTTCTTCAAGTGTGTGGGCAATATGATTGGTGACTAGGATAAGTTTGTGTATTCAAGGAATGGACACGTGATTGTTTGGAAAGTGGTTGTGAGCAGTTTTTTTTGTTTTCCCCATTGTGTGGGTGTAAGTGATATGATAATTTTGATGGTGTTGTAGGCTTTGTTGTGAGTATTACTAATGTGTGTATTGAAAGTGAGCATTGGGTCAGAAGTAAGTCCTAGTATTTTTGGGTTGCATACTGTTGGAATGATTGTGTTATTGATAGTGAGGTTGAGTTGTGTGCTGTATTTGTCTGGGTCAGGTGTGAAGAGGGTGGCAGTGCTTTTTGCTGCATTAAGTTGTAGTTGGTTTTGTCCATTCAAGTATGTATGGTGTGGAGGTATGGTTGAAGGATTTGAAAAGCAGTGTTATAGTCTTTGTGGGAGGATAAGATTGTTATGTCATCAGTGTATGTAATTATTATAATATTGGGCAGAGTTGAGGGTATATATGAAATGTATATGTTGAACAGTATGGGACTGTGGGTGAGAGGACTTCGCTATGTGGCATGACAGTTTTAAATATTTTTTGTTTTGAATTGGTGTTGTTGACATGTGTGAAGCCTTTTCCACCTTTAGTGTAATTTGCTATGTATTTGAGTGCGGTGTCCTCTATTGTGGTTGTGGATAGTTTGTTAATGAGTGTGTGTAAGTTAACCTTATCAAATGATTTACTCATGTCTAATGCTATGGCTATCATTCTAAGAGGAGGACATTTATGATTAAAACGTGTGGTGATGTGTTCTGAGATATGTTGGAGTGCAGTGGTAGTGGAGTGATGTTGCTTGTTTCCATGTTGGAGTTCAATGTTAGGGAGTTGTGGTATGATTGTATCAAGGATTTTTCCCAGTGTTGTGACTATTGGACTGAAAAGGGAGATTGGTCTGTAGGAAGAGCCTATGTTTGTGTATTGGCCGGGTTAAGTTTTTGGTATAATCTTGGCTAATTTCCATATATGGGGTATTGTATTGGAGTTTATTGCAATATTGTATATTTTAGAGAGGTATGTAATTGCTATGGGGCCTAGGAGTTTGAGATGGAGTATGGTAACATGGTCTGGTTCAGCTGGTTTGTTGTTATTACTGTTTTTTATGGCATGTATGGTCATGTCTGTTGTGATGTTAATTGGGTTGCCTTAGAGTGATTTAATGCTTCTATCTGTTATACTGTTATTGTGCGAGGTTTGGTGAGGTTTCAGATTTGTGAACTGTTTGCTGAATTGTGTTGCCTTCTCTTTGTTGACGTTTGCTGTTATGGTTGTGAATTGTATTGTTTTGTTTGCTTCTTGGTGTGGTGTTTTATTTGAGAGTGATGAGATTGTCTTCCAGAGAAGGTATGTATTGTTTGTTATTCCAGTTTTGATCGAGGTGTTTTTTCCATAGGTTGCGTTTGTGTGTGTTTATATTCCATGGTCTATGTCTCTGCTGAGTTGTTGGATAGATGGATCATGTCTGTTTTGTTTTCTGATGTTTCATTGTTGTATTTTGTCTCTGATGGCTTGGGGTAGAAGTGTCTGTTTTGTTTTCATTTTTCTTTTGGGTATGTGATGTTTGTCTGCTTGTAGGATGAGTTGAGTGAGTATTTTGTTGGCAATGTGAATATTGGTGGGTGCAGGAGTGTCTTGGAGTGCTTCGTCTATTTACTGTGAGTAAGCTGTCCAGTCTGCTTTGAGGTAATTTGTGAAAGTTTTGCTGCAGGTTTTTGTGCAATAGTTGGTTTTGGTGTAAAAGTGTAATATGATAGGAACATGATCGATCAGAACTGAAAGCTGTGAAGTTGACCATGCTATCTTGCTTGAGATGTCATTTGTGGCTGTGGACATGTCTGGTGAAATGAGTTGCTGCCCTATTGTAGTGGGTATGTGCGTGGGCAAATTTTCATTGAGTATGATGTGGTTGGAATTTTGTATAAGTGAGTTGATAAGGTTGCCTCTATGGTCTGCATTGGGAGAGTACTAGGATGGGTGGCAAGCATTGATATCTCCCGTGATAATGGTATAAGACTTGTGGAGGAGGTATGCAAAGCTGTAAGTGATGTTTTGATTATGGTGTGATGGGTGTGTATCTCTAGGAGGGACATAAGTGTTAGATATTGGAATGAATTTGTTTTTGGAGAGATGTATATTGATTAGTTGGATTTCAGTGGCATCTTGGTTGTTGTGGTAAGGTAATTGTTGTGAAAACAATGTTATGGTGAATTTAGGTGATATGTCCACCTCCTGTCTTGTGAGCCTTGTCTTGACAAATTGCAGTGTAATTAGGTATAGTGGGTACCGGTATGCAATTTGTTGGTTCAAGTTTGGATACTTGGATTGTGATGATGACAATGTTGTGTTGTTTTGTGGTTAGTTCAAGGTCTTCTATTTTGCTTATGAGCCCATTAATTTTCAACTGCATTAGTTTGATATCTGAGGGTGTTTTTCTGGGTCAGTTTTGAGGTAAAGGGGAATCTGTGAGATTGTTAGGTGGGGTTAAGGAGATCTAGATGCAGTGACTGAGTCTGGAATGAGTTTTAATGCTGGTGGTGGTACTGTATTTGGCTTAGGAGGCATTGATGGAAGTGTGTTAGTGATATGTCCGGGAATTTGTATCTTGATGAAGTGAATTTGTGCAGTTTTTTGGACCCAGTGTGGGTTAAGACTTACAGAGAAGGGAGTATTGGCGTTTTGTGATTTGTCTATTGCATATGTCACACATCCAAGTCAGAGTGGGATTTTCCTTGACATCCCCTGCTAATAGCAACAAAAACACTATCTACACATGGGGAGATGCAAGCCGGCAGCTGCTAAAAACATGGGCTTTGGGTCCCCTTTTTGGAGGAGGAATAAGTTGACTCAATTTTGACCCACGCACATTATTTGGAGTTTGGACAAATTTTCTCTCCTATATTTGGGTGTAATGTACAGACAACAGATGCAATCAGTCATTACTTATCAAGCACATGTTTTTTATTCATTATATTAGTTCTATATTTCATATTGTATAACCAGTAATATATAAAATTCCATAAACCAAACACAAATATATCTATTTGGGTGGAAATGCATTTCTAAATTCATACTTGTTGAAGATCCATAACATGTTTCACTTCAAAGTTACTCATTGAACTTCAGAGTAACAATTGAAAAACAAATTGCTAGATCTAAAGACAGAGATAGCAAAAAAATAAATTAAGCATGTCATATCATTATTTAATTGTGTTTTTGGGTGTAAATGTTTTTTTTTACATATTTTGCAATTTCTAAGGATAGAATATAAATTAGAATTTTTCAAATTAACTGAACAAATTGCGTTAATATTGAAAATTTAATTCATTAGACAGAGTAGTTACAACATGCCTCAGATTGAATGTGGGGTTTGGAAACTACAAAAAAAGGTTAGAGTTGGAATTCAAGTGAAAATTCCCAATTTACCAATACCAAGTAAGTAACCAATGACAACTGCTACTACTCTGAAAAATTTCATTCTGATCATATAAATTCCAGAAGATACAGAACTAGTCAAGGCCAGAAAGTTCCCCAAAAAAGTGTGATACATGTTCAATTAGTAGACAATATGTCATCACTTACATTTAGCTGGGAAGGAAAACTACCCACCTCAAGCTCCTTGTATGTTGGCAGGTAAGGCCTTCCATAGTCAACTTTATTCATCTTTTTTTTTTCCATGGACTTTTCATCAAGAGCACCAAGATTAAAATCCTTAAAATGCTTGGCAATTTTATTTATTCTTTCATTTAATTCATTTTCCAACTCTTCTGGAGTGAATTCGTTTTTGCTATATAAGTGTTCTTGAAAATTTGTATAGAATTTAGCTCTTTCCCATTCAGCTTCTGTAGATTTGAATTTTGGTTTGTAGAAATAGTCTTCAAGACTGCAAAATTCGGAAGATATTCGAGCCATTGGATATTTGAAAATAACAAATGGGCCAAGAGTGCTACAAACAGACAGGCCAACACATGAATCATTTATTTTCATATTAATTGGTCCCAAGTTTTTATTAGTTTCATGCAAAAAACCAACTGCCTTATTTTTCAGGATAGCTGGAGCAGTTTCAACAGAAATATTTTCAATAGATGTATAGATTAATCTGTTATTGGGCCTCTTCTTGGTCTTTTCTAATGTATCTCCAATGGCAATAGGCACACTCTTGCGCTTTCGATGGACCACTTGGTCTGCAGGCAAGTGACCATACTGAGATGAAGGAAGAGTTGAATCATTTCCACCAGTAAACTCACTTTCACTGAAGTTTCCCAGTTGTAAATCTGTCATTGTCAATAAAATCTTCACCCTCAGATGAATTGAGTATTGTTTAAAACTTGCACGATTCAAGGAAGCAGAGAGGTTTGCTGGCATGTCTTCCCCTTTTGACAACAGTTCAGGTTTTTCTTGTCAGGATGCTATAAAAGTTAGAAGATGAAGTTGCTGAAGATGCTGATATGGTGAACAAATGATATTTTCTTCTGTCAATGTTTGTTGGGGCCTATGAAGACATGTCTAATGCTGTTCCACAACAGTGTAGTGACTTTGAGGTGCTACAGTTTTCCTCAATTAGTGCTTTAGGGGGCCCCAAAGACCCAACATCTTATATATTCTTGTTGTAGGTACCTAACATCTTCCTATTTATTCTTTAGTTTGTGGGTGTGTTGGTGCGTAACACTCGCAAAACAATATGAAAATCTGAAAATCTGCAACACAAAAAGTGCAAACCCCAGTAGAGCAAGAGCAACATGAATAAAAAAGAAAGAAAATAAAAAAAGATGGCTACATATTTAAGTAGTGAATAGGCATAGGAGATACAAAAGAGGGCAGGCATTATAGGTCTCCACATTGACTGTGTCTAATCTCATTCAATTTCCAGCTTAGTTACTGGCTAGTAGCCATGCCCTAAACTGTGCCTCATGAATTTTTCTAAGTTACTGAAAGTCCAGCATGGGCAGCACAACCTGGAGCTTCTCAAGAACAAGTTGGTAAGCAAGTGATGATTAAGTGGCTGCTAAGCAGTATACAGAAAATAAAACAGAACTCCTATGGGCTTTTCTCTGAAGGAGCACGATTAGAAACTTATTTGCAGGCAAGTGTAACATTCTTTACAAAAGCAGCTTTGATACATGAAATTGAGAACACATATGGTTCCTAACGATATACTGGTCAGGGTGCATACTGGTATTTAGAAAAAAATTCCATGACTTTTCCATGACCTAGTTCTAGTAATCTTTGAATGTTAACTGGAAAGAGAGTAGTCAGCACAGCAGAACCAAACTTTGCTAGAACATGTATAAGATGAGTATCAAAACTAGGCATCCACTTGTATATTTATTTGATCTTACAATTTCGTTATGAATCCATTTTCCTCCCCTGGTTCCAAATGGAACCGCTCGGCATTAATGGGTTAACACATGCAGCACAGAAAAACCCTTCCTTTTTTCTTCATTTATTTCCAAATTCCAAGACTTTCCCTAACCTGAAATGAAATTCCATGACTTTCCAGGCCTGGAAAATGAAAAATCAAATTCCATGACTTTCCAGGTTTTCCATGACCGGTATGCGCCCTGACTGGTCCTAATAATTAATATACTGGTCCTACCAAGTTGCATAGACTGGTACTGCTTATCTACAAGTGCACATTTATAACAATAGGAGCATGATTAGAAACTTATTTGCAGGCAAGTGTAACATTCTTTACAAAAGCAGCTTTGATACATGAAATTGAGAACACATATGGTTCCTAACAATATACTGGTCAGGGTGCGTACTGGTATTTAGAAAAAAATTCCATGACTTTTCCATGACCTAATTCTAGTAGTCTTTGAATGTTAACTGGAAAGAGAGTAGTCAGCACAGCAGAACCAAACTTTGCTAGAACATGTACAAGATGTGTATCAAACCTATGCATCCACTTGTATATTTATTTGATCTTACAATTTTGTTATGAATCCATTTTCCTCCACTGGTTCCAAATGGAACCGCTCGGCATTAATGGGTTAACACATGCAGCACAGGAAAACACTTCCTTTTTTTCTTCATTTGTTTCCAAATTCCAAGACTTTCCCTAACCTGAAATGAAATTCCATGACTTTCCAGGTTTTCCATGACCAGTACGCACCCTGACTGGTCCTAATAATTAATATACTGGTCCTAACAAGCTGCATAGACTGGTACTGCTTATCTACAAGTGCACATTTATAACAATGCTGATAAAAAAAAAGTGAATAAGCTGACAGTGTTAGTATCCTCAGCAGTCCCAACAGCCCACATCTGCACAAGGCTTCAGTCAGTGCAGTGGTCCCAGCAGCAACTGTGTGCACATGAAAAATGAAATCAGTAGAAAGCATCATAAACATTGCATCAATTGATCAACTACAGCTCACAAAATTGGGGATGCATATTTGAATATCATGTTCAGGGAAATAATTTGCTGGGGCAGATCAGGGAACATAGTTTCAAAGTAAAATGCTATTATTCATGTTAAGAAATGTTAGTGATTAGCTCATTTAAGGGGACCGTCTACCCTCCGTAAAAACTTCTACAGTTATTATCAGATCATCGTGAAACTTCACCTACACACGTAAAATGTAAAAAATAACATTTTGCTCTTATGAATTTATTGAAAAAATTGATAGAAAACGTGATATTCGTAGAAAACGGCCAAAAACGGGTACTATAGAAAATCTATCTCCTACAAATATCGTCCTACAACATCGAGACACGTATCATTCGATTTGTAAAGACAATACCTATCGACTCAGCCATCCCTTTTTTCATTTTCCCCATAGTTTTTTTATGCGTGTTTTTCCCATTTTTCCACTTTTTCCCTGCCCTCACCTCCTTCTTCCCCACATATAAGACAAACCATGCACAAATTAAAAAAAGGGATGGCCAGGTCGATAGGTATGGTCTTTGCGAATCGAATGATATGACTCTCATTGATGTAGCTTGAAAACTGTAGGAGGAGATAGGTTTGCCGTGAGAGCAATAGGAGGTTTACACCAGGCCCAAAAAAACTGCCATGCGGCACATAAAGGGACGTAAAAGAGTCGTAACGTAGCCTAGATACCGTAATTAAGCCTCAAACCAAGTCAGCCAGACATAGAGCGACTGGCTGCATACCTCTCACCTCGCTGTCATGATGGACACTGACTGCTTTGGCTGCAGCAGGCAATATTTATAGCCCTGCTCTCGAATTTAGCCCATAGGAATTAGTGAAGGCCGCCCCTCACCTCCCCCCATTCCATGGCCCGTCGTGTACGTCAAAATGCAGGTAGAGAGATGGTTCTGGTACCGTTTGACGCATCAGAAGTAAGCTTTAAGATGAGTATAAGCACCGGATAATGCCATAATTGGCCACTTTACGTCATACGTTCCTTTTTAGTGCGTCCAGCCTTTGAATTAATCCCATAGACTTTACTGAAGGGCCCTCAAAACCGTCCCCCTTTAGGGAGCTGTCAAGAAATCATTTTTCGACATAGAGATGATTCTGGTACCGTTTGATGCGTCAGAAAGTAAGCTTTAAGATGAGCACAAAAACCGGAAAATGCCAAAATTGAAAATTTAGGGGTAGATGGTTCCCTTAAAACAAAGGACAACATTAATAGAGTTAAACCAAATTGCCCAAGTTAGTAGCTAGTGGGTGCCTTACCTTGTGCCACAAACAAGAACCAAGACTCTAGACAAGGATCCAGCCTGGGCGGCTCAACCTGGAGCCTCTTTCAGCCAAATATGGCTAGTGCTAACAATATTTAATGCAAATGTGCAAACAAGATGGATCTCTTATGGGCAGAGCTCAGAAAGAGGCAAGGGAATATCTGCTTATCTGGTGGAGACAAATAGAGGCACCCTTCACATAGGCAGTAATTACAGTATTTAATTGATCTGCTCAGAGAAACCTATACTCGAAACTCATGGATGCACCACAGTTGCATTCATTGAAGATTTAATAGAAATTTAGTACCACAGAGTGTTATTTGTTATTTGTAGTGTAACAAATTTGTTATTTGTAGTGTAACAAATAACACAGAGTGTTATTTGTTATTTGTGTATTATTTGTAGTATACTCACAATTGTTAGGGATTTCTGGCAGAAGTACAATAGTACATATGAGCAACATTGAAATAGGCCAAAACATGCAAGGTTCTATTTATTAAAAGACTACATTTGCTTCAGGGCATTAATTTCTATAGGTTGACCAGTATTGTCTTTAATTATATTTACCTGTGTTTCAGGTGGGAAAGGGCCTCCTCCAAGCAAGTTCTTTACAGATTAATCACCATTCAGCAAGGTTAGTGTGTTAGACAGATTAGTTTTGTTAGCATGCAGATGGCAGTGGAATAGCAAGTGATCTATTGTTTCTACATGCTGGCCACAGTTGCACATAGGGTTATCAATCATTCTGAACCTAGCCAAGTGTACTCTCACTCCAGCATGACCCATTCAAATCTAGCAAGTGCTGTCTTCACAAGTTTTTTTAGGTTTGGTGCACAAGGCCAATAGCCTACTCTATCTTTGGAAAAGGCCCTTCCCTGAAGCTTCAGTGATATTAACCCACTCCTGCCAGTACTCAATAATAGCTAGCTGGATATTTCATACCGTCTCTTCCTTTGACCTAGGAGTAACAGTATGGTACCACAGGGTGTGGGCAAGTGATGCTGCATGGTCATCTTCCTCATTCCCAGTGCCAGCACCCAAAGCTTATCTTGGATCTGAAAAAAAAGATGTACTTATTAATGAGGTTTTCCATCAGCAATTAGGTACAGCGAGATAAGGGAGTCAGTAAAATGACAAACTTTTCATTACTTTCAAGGTTGTTTTGAGCCCACTCAAGAGCTTCATGGATGGCAAATAGTTCTGCTTAAAGGACAGACACTTCAGGACGGTATTTCCACTTGAGGAGAACTTCTTTGGAAGGGACCACCATAGCAGCTGACACAGAAGTTGAAGGTTCTGTAATTCGAGAATCATCAGTGTAGGCTATGTAAAGTTTGTAAACTGGGTCTGTAGGTCTGAATAAAATCTGTGAAGCCATGTTGGATGTGACGCCTTGTACAGGAGTTGATGAAAAGATTGTTAGGATGTGTTTTTGGATATTGAACCAAGGAGGAAGCAGCAACAGAAAAAGGTATATCAATGTCATGGGAAGGAGTAGATTATGTTGAGGAAAGATTGCACAAAACAGAGCAGTCAGGGAAGGCAGTGATGAGGGAGAGATGTTAGCAGATATGGATCCTATCTTTCAGCACAGAAGAGATCACTAGTGATAAAAGACATTGGAAGTGTGGTAAGTCTGTGATAGTATTGACACAGTAGCTCTTGACATTGGATTGAAAGAGGTATATTAGCTTCCACCTTGAATGGGCAGATTGGAAGTGGTTTTTCTACTCCCTAAAGCAATTCTGAGACAGTGCTTCTGGATTATATAAAAAATTTCAAGTAGTGTTGGGGCAGCACCAGCAAAGAGTAGGCTAAGTCTATGTGGCTAAGGATTAAAGTTTTAGACAATTCCAGTAGAAGGAGCTGATCTGAACCCCATTATCTGTGGGCAATACATTTCAGCATGCTCAAAATAGGAAGACATGATGTTCTCAGGGCCACTATTTGTGTTTTTCAGGGTAGTCTAGGGGCATTCAATGAAACCCCAAGATAATGAAATTGGAAAACTACTTCAATTGGGTAGCCATTACGCAGTAGAGAGGGTGAGATTACCTTCCTGCT